TTGGATGGTATCTTATGAAGCTGGTCCCTGGATATATGCTTGCCAATCATCACATCCTCTCTTTCTGACTATCTTTCCTCTACACATGGAGCACTTCACTCAACTCCAACTTAAACATCACATACAAAGGAAAGATAAGCAGGAAGAAAATCCGAAGGCATTGGCAATACCGTTGCATGTTAAAAAGAAAGAAGTAGATTCACGTTGAACTTCGTTTTCGTGGTGCATAACTCCTCTTTCCATAGGTCTTATTAACTTCAAAGGGAGCTCCGTGCATGTAAATGATTATATTTATTGGATGCGCCAACTCCTTCTTATCCTCCAGGCACAATTAGAAATATCATAGAAAAATGAATGTCAGAGACTTGGATCCATATTTGATATTCTATGGAAAGTTTCCCATAGTTACAGACATTAAAAATCCTGCCCAATCGTCTGGTTATGAATTTATAGTATTTCTTCTTCTATATCCTTGGAATTATTTTTCTCTGGTTTTAGAACATTCTTCTTACATTAAAGGGGAAAAATTCTCTTTAGATCCAGATAAACTTGTGATAAAAAGCATAGCAGTAGTACAACTTGGTATAGTAATAAAAATTTAGACTGCAAAGCTCCTGTCTTTCAAGGAACTTTTAGTGCTTCCCAGAGAATAGCACATTAATACTTACAGGAACTCTGCTTCTACTTCAAGTACACTCTGGGAGCTGCTATTAGTGTCTAGAAACTAGGCTCCAAGATGTTCATTTTAATATTATAGTCACTAAACTACACTATAATTTCAGTGATCAGTGTAAATCTGGGCTATTACTAATATTCACATTAAATAGTTGGATGTTTCCAGTTGAAATCTCTCCACTCTCATTTACACCAATGGAAAGTGTATGAAGCTCTGTGCTTTTTATACAAAGTTGTTTGTTCACTTTAAATTCAATAGATTTAAGCCTCCTGGTAGAAATGTCTCTAGTGCTGACTATGACAAGCAATTTTATGCCCCCACTTTGTGCTATCAGTAAATATAAAGACCTTGGAAGCGCTACAGATACAGTCTCAGCTACATCCTGTGTTTGTACAAATCCACCTAAGAGGACACACCATGTTTTTAAAGTGACAAATGTGGGGGAAAAAATCCTCTAACATTAAGTACATAGTACTATTTTGAAAGATAAGAGGCTACACCTAAACAATAACAACAAATAAACCCCATTTGTTTAGGTTTATTTGGGACAATGTATATTTATTTGGGAAATATATCCACATGTAATGGGTGGTCTGAAAGATACAAATGCTTTTTGAATAATGTTTTGATAAGCAATGAATTACAAAAGATTCATTCCAACTAGTCTTATAGACAAATAAAAGCTATCAAAGTACTTCACATCCTTTTTGGATTATTTGCCAGCAATAAATAAGCAAGTGCAGTCTACTTTAGCAAATATTTATAGAGCTAAACAATCCAAAGTCCATATAACAATTAAATTTCTGGTGAAAATGTGTGTAAGTAGGTTTATTTTGAAAGGAAAAGTCCTACTCCCAGTGTCATAACCAATTAAATTCTCCAGGTAATGACCCCATTTGCATAGTGAGTAGAACCCACAAGTGGGAATTTTAATGGGTACACCACTTGAGTAGAGTAATTGAGAGTGACACAATTTGAACTAGTTTTGTGCTTACCCCACTGAAAATTCTACTCATATTATTTTTAATGTCAAGCTACAAGTCAAATTTCAAGATGATGGATTTGTTCTTTTTTAAGCACCGAGTTTGAATAAAAGAAATGCTTTAATTCTGTTATGCATTGCATATCTTTAACTACTCTGTAGTTCCTGTTTCTCACGGTTGCTTCATTTCCTTCAGTGATTGGAATTTAATTTTATTCATTAATTTGTGAATAATTAGATAAAAATAATAACCTCGGCAGCTAAATTGCTTTTGGATTACAATTTAATGTACTTTTTTTTTTTACCAGAATATGTTTTATAGTGAAGCTGGCATAATAGTTTACTAAAATGTAATTGTGTAAATATGCCCAATGATTACTTCTGATGATCTAATAAAATGTAATACAGTGTATACACTTGAAGTATTTCATTCTTCCTTCAGCTCTACACCAATAAAACAGTTTCTACTGAGTTGTGCTCTGAAGGTGTTACTTTTAAAGGATAGTCTCCTTATCTTTCAGCCACTATTCATGTCCTTGAAAGAATTGTGCATTCTGGTTGAAAGGATCATATGACGTCCACATTAAATTATATAATAAAGGTGATTTTAAAACTCTAAGAGTCAGTCACATCTGATAGACTGTGCTTTCTAGGTTTTGAGCTGACATTTCAAAACTTCTTTTGTTTCACTTTAAGATTGCTTTCAATCCTGTTTGTAGGTGTTTTACACATCTCTGCCACATCTGTAATTGGCATAGCATCCAGCCGACAGGCTCTGTACATCTTTACACTGCAACCTACCAAGTTAAGAAATGTATTGCTTCAATATAAAACAGCAGGCTGTTTTTAGACATAGTTACTAGTGCACAAGCTTTAATATGGCTTGGCTTCATCCTATAATGAGATCTTTTGGTTCCCTGCTCAACAGGCTTTTATTCCTTTGCAAAAGGCTATGAACTATGTCAAGTGGATCAGCTGCTTTTGTACACCCTCTTTCTTGGCTTTGGAATGTAATTCCTTTGCTTCTACCCCTTTATGCATCAGACAGAACTTAAGAACCTTTTCCATTTTTTTTCAAGTTAAACTTAGAATTTGTTTGAATTTGCTTTTCACCATTTTCTTAATAATTACATTCTCAACTAAACCTCACAAAAGAATTGCTTGGAAGTGAACACCTAATTACAGTGCTACATTTTGTCTTTAATGCATTTATCTCTACCCCCTGTCAGTAATGGATCAAAGGGTGTTTTTTTTTTTCCCCCAAATGATTTCTTCTCCATCCTGACCACTACCTTCATGACTCTTTAGGGCTTACTAAATGGGATGAAGTGAAGTGAAGGACATAGGATGTTAATAATAGGCAAACAAATAAATAATATTACTAGAACTACTAGCTATAGTTTGATTGGGAAGCAGGAAATGACTTATGTTCACCCCTGATGGCTTGAGCACTTTTGCTGTGGGCCTTGTGGCAAATATCACGCATTGCCCCAGCCACACGAACACAGTGATCTGAATTTCTACTTGCTGAGACTCTACATTCTGGGCTCTGATTGGTTATAGCTTCGCTTACAGGATTTTTCATCTCTAGATTGTCTGTTGATTTAATTAAAATTTGAGCATCTATGCAATATTTTGAGTTTACTTTTAAAGTAAAAGAGGTATCGTTGTTCACTAGGGATATGCCATGAAAAATACATAGTGGGTTTTGTCACTAATGATACATTTTTGCAAATATCGCTCTCCATATGAAGATGGCATCACACTCTGTTCCATTTTAATGAAGACCTCTAAAAATAATATTAAACACCCATGTAAACAGTAGGAGTCTCTCTGTTGGATCTAACACACTTCTCATAGGAGAAGTGCCATACTTCTTCCCTGGGTTGAATCTTCTTGTGGGTTAGGTGACTTCCCTGAGGTTTCTTTTCTTTTTTCTTTTTCTTTTTTGGGGTCCAGTCGTGGGGCCTGAACTCTGGGCCTGGGCGCTGTCCCTCAGCTCTTCAGCGCAAGGCTAGCACTTTACCACTTGAGCCACAGCGCCACTTTGGGCTTTTTTCTTTTTGCTTATGTGGTGCTGAGGAATCAAACCCAGGGCCTCATGCATGCAAGGCAAGCGCTCTACCACTGAGCCACCTTCCCAGCCCCTCCCTGAGGTTTCTTATACCAAATCAAGCACAGAAAAAGCACTTCTTTAGTCTAAGTTCATTGCTTCTAAGGTCACACAGAAACAAAGGGCTAAATACTCAACCTTTGCAAAAGAGCAATAATTTCAACCCCACCAATACATCAGCAATTGTTTCACACAAATCTGATGTGTCTGACTGCGTTAGGTATGAAGGGAGAGAAAAATGCTATTTGATAAAATGTATTTTGCCTCGCAGACAAAATAAAGCAATCTTTATGCCCACAAATAAGAAGAAATTAGAAGGGGCATATAAGTCCTGAATAACTTGAAAACTAATCTTTATAGTAAGTAAAATATTCATCAGGAAGATGGAAAAAGCTTATAGTTAACCATCATTCAAGAAGGCAAGCCACAACATCCCTGGGGCTCCAGATTAAGTTATTGGAATCTGTGATATTTGATGTTTATAACATTAGAATCTAGGGCACTGATAGAACAAAGAAAATGAAGTGACTGTGTAAATCTTCTTAGATAACAATGACTGTTCAGGTGGAAAAAATGAATACAACTGATACACTGTCAGAACACAAGAACAAAGTTAACAGAGGTGTGGTGACTCACACCTGTAATTCTAGCTATCGTGGAAACTCAGATCTAGAAATCATGGTTTCAGGCCAGTTTGAGAAAAACCTGAAGAAAAATGTGTAAGACTCTATTTCAACAGGAGAATCTGGGTGTGATAATACACAACTGTCGTTCCATTACAGTGGGAAGTAAGACACAGGAAGATCCAAGTTTAGGCACAGGCATGGGCAAAAATCAAATCCTGTCTCAAAATAACCAGTGCCTAAAAAAGGCTGGAGGCATGGCTCAGAGGTGAGTTCCTGTCCTGAAAGCCAGTAAGAATGCCGGAGTTCAAAGTTCAGCACTACCAAAACACTACTACTTTTAGAAACAAAAATCTTCTCCTAAATACTTAAATTGTCTTTCTTTAAATACTAAACTCTAAAATATTTCCAAATATTGCGCCACTAAAAATCCTATACGTGATTGCTTGTGATGTTTTGCTTGAAAGTCATTAAACCTAAGGTAATAAACCTCTGAGTATTTTTTGTTTACTGTTTGATCTCAGAATATGTAAAATAGAGTACATATCCCAGAGTAAATAAAATCAACCCACTAACCCTGTACAAAACTTGTATTTTGACACACTGTGAGTTTTTACAAGAGCACTGTATTTTGATATCATGACTTGTGTTAGCCAATTTTCTGTATCTTTAAAGTCCATATGTGGCCATGTGTCAAATGATTTATATAGGAAACAAGGAAGTCTTCAGAAAGGGATATAACAAGCAAAATGTCAATCTTAGTTATAGTAGAAGTCATCCAAATATAAAGTCACATAGCCCTTAAGTATGAAAGTAGGCTAAAGTACAATAAAGAAGGCATTGTTTAATTTTACAATATTCAGGATAATACAGGTCCAGTTTAAAAATATTTAAGATTAATTTTCCACATTTAAAAAGAGACCAAATACCTAGCTCAATTACAGTGCTTAATAAGGATGGTAATATAATTCAACAAAACATTGTAAATACAGAAATTCTAAAACATATTGAATATCTTTTCACATTTGCCTACTCTGCTACCCCGATTCCTTCTTCTATTTCCTTCTGAATTATACAAAATGCTTCACGGAATGACTGCCTGGAATAGACAACTGAGGGGAAAAAACAAATACAGACATCAGAAAACATCACTGGTCTCCAAGACATCCTCTGCTACAGAGAAACACTTCAAATGTGTCAATATGTTCATTACAAGTAGTAGCAGGATACATTTAAAAGTCAGAGAGATCACTTGGTTGAAAAATGGTATAGGATTAAAAGTCAAATATTCTAAGAATTCCAGATCACTAAGAGGCTTACATTATAAACAGATGCGATTCTTACTCTAATGTACAAGCTTAAGTTAACTCATGATAGATAGAATTATATTCAGATTTTTATATCTAATATAATAATTAAAACTCTAGGGAAAAATGAGGGAAACAGCTACATTTTAACATCCTAACAATGTAAAAGTTGTGTGTATGCAAATAGCACTAAAAGTTTCGAGAGTTTGCTGTTTTTCTTTCTTTTTTCAAACCTTTTAAATAAATAACATAATTCAAAACTAGGCTTTGTCTCAAAGGAAAGCTATAGGTAACATTGTCATGACACAGGATTAAAAAAATGTCTAGCTCTCTTAAAAGCCTAGATTTGCTAAAGGCTTCCTAAAATGTGCTGTTAATGTTGTTATTATCTACTTGATATTCAGTTAAATAAAACTAGTAATAAGTACGACTCACACTGTATACTTTCAAACTTCTAAAAGGGTCATATTGAAGTAAACTAAAGTACAATTTTGGGAATGTTCAACCTCAGGAGAATGCATAGTTTGAAAGTATTCTGCCTTCCAATTGAGTGACACAATATCTATTACTCCAATTACTATATATATATATATATACTATATTATATATATGCAAAGCATATATATATATATGTATATAAATCTTATAACTGACATACTTCTTCTTCATACTTGGGGATCTTGATAACCTGCCACATAGGCCAAGTTTGACAGAGAATTATAACACTAAAATTTGGTCACAGCAGGGAATTTGTGAGCTTCTCTGCACTAAAATCCCAGGTTTTCTGCACTAGAAATCAATGTGCTTATGATATATAGCACTGAGTAAGAAACAAACCAAAACATACAAGCCACACCCTTCTCCAAAACCACCTACATTTTACAAAACAAAAGAAAGCCTTTGAAAAGTTGAAATCAGGATACCTGTGTTTCGGTATTTTAAAAAATCCAATTTAGTTTGTCAAAAGTTTTTGAGGACTATATGTTAATTAGGTAGTATGTTTTCATAAAAAATATAGCATAATATTTATGTTGTATTGTTACAACTAAAAGGCAAGTTTACAAAGACATGTTTCTTTTAACTATAAAGAACACACAGTTCAGACTGTCCATGAGAAGACAATCTTAAACCTAAATAACTTATTCTAGTAGCAGATCAATTAGCCATCCTAAGAGGTTGCCTAGAATGCCACATCTTGTTCAAGCCTTGTTTTGTATTCTGGTAATTCTCTTGTTTTTTTTTTCCTGTGGTATTTTACGTTTCTCCTAATACAATGTTCATTTCAGTATGCCTTATGAGATAGTTCATTGTCTGCTGCAGTGCATACTGCGGAGAACTATAGATGGGAAAGAGATGCTGTCCCTTACATGGCCTGGGCAACACCGCACCCAAAGCAGACATTCAACATCTGCTGAACAAGTGCTGCCCAGCGATGGTGTGTCTGTTTGCCAAAGTTTACTGAAAATAATGTTTAATTTTAGCTTCTAATAGATAAGTAACGAAAAATAAATGGTTGGGATTAATACTCACTAAGAAATAATATATTTGGAGTACATGGCTCCTGAAAAAGCTTAGACGAAACAGAAATATCAACAGAAAAAGAGGAGCCTTTTAACATGTCCCTTGGTTAATACAAGCTAGTTAGCTTTTCACATATTAAACCATATGGATTTGTGAGGGGAGGGAAGGCTTTCAGAGACTACTTAATATAATGACTGCACAGTGCAAATACTGAATTGCTTCATGAGAATTTCTCCCCCTTTAAAGGAAAAAAAATTAAACATTCTCCAGTTTGAACACAAACGAAGGATAAATACTTATGAAGGGAAACAAATTCCACAGCATTCCATACAGATTTCCAGACAGTCTGATGATTCACAACAGGCATCCATGATGCCACAGTCCATGTCACAAGGACAGTTACAGTCGTCCCCCATCTCATCGCCACAGCAACAGCAGCAGGCTTCCGAGGAGCAGATCCCACAAGAAGCTTGTCCCAGGACAATATTGCAGAGGGTCAGGAATTCACAGAACAAGCATGCCAGGATACAGTGGACACAACAGTCTTCGTTTTCAGTTAGAAGGGGAACACAGTGGAAAAAAAGGAACACAAGACATAAACGTCATCAATAGACTGAATTGAACAGAGTTATAATGCAAATAACATACAGACCTAGACTTTGTAAGCTCAAGACAGGTAATTTTTAGAAGCACATATAGCATTCTAGTTGTGTGTACATGCCTGAGCACACGTGTGTTCTGACATAATATGCAATGACCCTTCATCCTGAGTACTACTTTTCCATGCTTCTGATCCATTGCTCTTATGTCCCATTTCTCTTTTGGCTACTGGGTAAAAACAATGCCATGACATTCATTAAATAGAAATGTCATTCACTTGCTCAAAAATCTGAAGTACTGTGTGTGGTATGGCATACTTAATTTATACTCAAGCTAGAATCTATGAAACTGGATCCCACAAATTATATTTTGTAATTGACCCCATTTCTTAATTTCGAATTTTTTAAATTACAAATCAATTTTTTTTTGACGGTCGTGGGGCTTGAACTCTGGGCCTGGGCGCTGTCCCTCAGCTCTTCAGCTAAAGGCGAGCGCTCTACCACTTGAGCTACCGTACCACTTCCAGTTTTCTGAGTGTTTATTGGAGATAAGAGTTTCACGGACTTTCTTGCCTGGGCTAGCTTTGAACCGTGATCCTCAGATCTCAGCCTCCTGAGTAGTTAGGATTACAAGCATGAGCCACCGGCACCTGGCACAAATCAATTTTTTAAAAAAGTGAGGCCCTCTTGTTGGGCCCAAACCTTTAGAATAATTCTGCCATTTCTAACAGAGATAGCAAATTTGAAAAATGAAACAGTACCTTGACTTTACTACCTCCTTTGGTGGCAAAGGTGTATTTTACACCGTTCCTGGTAACTTGCTCAACAATGCTCACCAAATTTTATAAATCAATTAAAAATAAAGTTGAACTATCAAACAAATCATCATATAATAACTTTACAAAAAATGTGCTTAATTTCTTAACTCTTTAACATTTTGGTCTAGTGGTAGGTGTTACTCAAAAATTAAAACACAAAAAGTGAAATCTTCTTAGTCAGATGTAATGACAAAAGCCTTCAATTCTACCCAGTTGGGAGGTAGATACCTGGGCTAAGGTCGTTCAAGGCCAGCCCAAGCTAAAAAAGTTTCCTCAAGATCCTGTCTTTCCCAATGGCTGGGTGCAGTGGTAAAAACCTGCAATCACTTCACAGAGAGGCGTAATTAGTGGGTGTGGTGACATGTCTATCGTCCCAATAACACGAAAAAGCACAAATGAGAAGATCACAGTCCAAGCTGACTCAGGTATAAAGCAAGACCTTACATCAAAAATAACCAATACAAAAAGGGCCAGAGGAATGGATGAATTCACAAAGTACCTGTCTGGCAAATGATATTAATTCAAAATCTGAAAGATTTGTGTTTTTCCTCCCCACAAGATTATTTCTGTTTTATTTTGTAGGTTATTTCTTTTGTGTTTTGTATAATGAGGGTTTGAACTAGATAGTACTACTTCCTACAAAAGCAACAAAGACACCAATCCTATCTTTCACCTATTATCCTATGCCCTTTCAGTTCTGATATGACACTAAAATTATACACTTCAATGGAATTTCAGCAAACTATATGAAACCAAAGAATAAGGGAATGGCCCTTCACAAAACCTTCTCATTGTTGAGTAGTTTGGCTGTAGTAAGGAAGATTGTTTCTCCTTTACAATGTCATGTCATTCTGTGGGTTAGATGTGCCTGGGCAATTCTTCCAGCATCCCTGTTGCAAATGCTTTAGGTAAGGGAACAGAAGTACCACCAACTTCAATTATGCAAGCCAACTCTAACCACCTCCAAATCACCAACCCCTAACACTTCAAACATCCCCAGCTCCACCCTTGAGGAGAATTCATAGCTTTAAAACAAAGAAATAGGAATGTGAAAACAGCTTTTCTCTATGTGCTATTGGTAATAAGAGAAAATTCAGAAGGGAAACTCCAGGATTGTTTTTGTAGAAGTAAAGGGCAAAAACACTCCCACCAATCTTTCCTTTCACTCACTTCAGTGCCAAAATTATTCTTGCACATAATGCTTCGTGCAACAACTGGAAAAGGATCATGAAATTGTGAAACTCTGAATCTCTTCAGCTTCTTCTAATGTTGATTTCTAATAGTAGCCAATCATCTTGAAAGAATTGTCCATGGCAAAAAGTGCTAAGCTTCCAGAGAGCATTGATAGGTTTCCTTCTGTCTACATAAATTTTCAAACCATTATTTCTTGGATATTTGTATTTCTCTGTTCAGTTGAGATTTTCCAAGAATATATTAATGTGAGTATTTGAAAACCATTTGAAAAATTACAATGAGCGACTTTACTTTTAGGAAAATAGAGTTTGGAAGCAAGTGTGGTGGTACATACCTGTAACCCTAACTCTGGGGAGGGTGAGGCAGGAAGATGGAGAACTTGAGATCAGCATGAGCTACATAGGAGTTCAAGGCCAATCTGGGCTACTTAATAAGAAAGTGATCTCAAAATAAGAAAAGATAAATATAGAAAATAAAGAGCACTATGGAAAAGGAAGAAAGAAAGGGAAGAAGGAGAGGGTTTAATTGGTAGTACTTTAGCTCTATGCAATGTACCTTCAAATAAGTATGTATAATAACTGATTCCAAGAATATTTCACTTTAGCTATAACTTTCTACGCATTGCAAGAGAACTTAAATCAAATGTTAGGAGAGGGAATCTATAAATATGTATTGACAATGAAGTATCTGTAGCTGAGTATTCTTAAAACACTTTAGCTGAGTATTCTTAAAACAACAGCTGAGTATTCTTTAAAAAATAAAAAACAGAGGGGCTGGGAAGGTGGCTCAGTGGTAGAGCGCTTGCTTTGCAAGCATGAGGCCCTGGGTTCAATTCCTCAGCCCCACATAAGCAAAAAGCAGAAAGCCAGAAGTGGCACTGTGGCTCAAGTGGTAGAGTGCTAGCCTTGAGCTGAAGAGCTGAGGGACAGCGCCCAGGACCAGAGTTCAGGCCCCACTACTGGACCCCCCCAAAAAATAGCAATTCAGTAGGTAGATTCTTTATATACTAATAAGAAATTATACTATACATACAACTATTTAATGACTTCATATAAAGAAGCAATTTTTTTGCTCCAAATTCAACCTTAGAAAGACCTGTATGCTCATTGCTAAACAATCTATCAGATTGGAAATGATACTATATGGATTCTTATTGAATCATATGCCTTTCTAGATGTGATGTCATATGTTTGAGATTTATTTCTTTTAATTCATGTCATTGTAGTTTACTCTTTTTCCAGAATATAGTATCCTGTTGAATTACCTTGTGTTAATTGATTTCTCCATTACAGTATCTATGACTATTTTGGTTAAGTCCAGTGTTTTCACAATTCTAAACACTGGTATTTTAAACTATTTTGTTCATACCTATTAGAACATACATCTTAGATAACAATGAGGATCATCAGGTCACAGAAAATATGTGTTTAATCTTACTGGATATTAACAGATTTGTTTCAAAGTTAATGTTCACCTTCAGACATGAAGTTGTCCATTGCTCCATAACCATCAGCCTTTGAAACTATCACAAATTTTAATGTATGTTAATAAGTTGAGTGAATGTAGGATGGCATCTCATAATGGTTTCACTTTGTATTTCCTTGTTTAATAAGAAAAATGCATTTACTTCAATGACATTGTTTTATGTCTGATGGATATTAAATTACCTCTTGGTTTTTAAAATGGGTGTTTGTTGTTTTTATATTGTCCATTCATTGTTCTATTGAGTTGTTTCATGTTTCTTATTGATTAGTAGAAGTACTTTGTATTTTCAAGATAGCAGTCCTTTGTCAAGTATGACTGTCTTCTCTCACTATGTGTGTGGCCTTGGTTAAAATAAAATAGTGACAGAAATATTTTAACTCTTAGAGCTTGAGTTTGAATCAATGAAGGGAAATCCAAATCAAATCTTGTATTTTGCCAAAGATATGAGATTGCACAGCCTGGAATGTGAAGTAGTGTCAAGACAGATTTAAGGAATCAATCGAAAAAAGGAAAAGGCATTAAAAGATTTGGCAGCAGAATGAAATAAAAAGGATTAGTGTTGAATCAACAAGAGAGCTCAGTCCTAGATAGGAAGAAGGAAAACAATCAACTCAGGAGAGATACTGAATGGAATTGATGTGTAATCATTAGTCCTCATGACAAAGAGCAACAGACGTGGGAGTACTGTGGGAGTGACAACTCATCTCTGCTCTCTGGGTATATTCATCTGCCAATTCATGCCTTTACTAGGCATGACAGGTGTCTTACAGGAATTAAAAGCGCTAAGCAAGAAATGAATGTCTTCAAACTCTTTTTACCCAACAAAATCTACCTACTAATTACCTTGTTCTTATTTTATATTTGGTAAGCAAAAGTTCTTTATTCTGAATCAAATGTTCCTTGTCTAACCTATCTTGTACAACATAAACTAATGTCTATAGCTCACAGGTTAAGAGTGTTTGCTTAAGATAGTGTAGGCATTAGTGAAGGAGGAGTATTTATTTGCTGCTTTAAAATTAAGAATTTTTTTAGCTCAGATATTTATCCCAATTTCAGCTAAAAATAAGTATATAAAAGCTTTGTACTAAACACTAAAAATACTATTTTTTAATCTTAGTACTATTTCTAGAAAGGAGTACTAGTATTTTCCTTACTTCACCAATGAAGAAGAATGACCATTAGAAAACAAGGAGGAGGTTTTCCTAAGGTCATAGAAGCTATGAGAGGCTAAGGACAGATGTGGCATTTCTCATAGCTTAAACTCTTCATTGGAGCAAGATCAGCTCAGTGGTGGATTTGAAATTCACTGTTAATTTGTTTCAATCACTAATCTGTGTTTAGTCCATATAGGTTCAGTTTTAATGAAGCCAAGATAGTAAATGGTAAGCTTGAACATACAAAAAAAAGTTAAATCATCACTGAGCTGCAAAACTGATAAACTACAGGTC